ATATCCTGTTATATTTAACATTATTTATTTTTGTATGTAAACAATGCAAATATTGCCATTAACAATAACGACGTTTCTCGACATCAGATATGTGCCATATATTCCACGCCACTGCACTGTGAGTGATTCTCCTCTCTGCTTTATGTCAGCGCTGTTTTTAACATTTTTTTTTTTTTAATCTGAGATTCGTTAAGACACACGCCATGCTTAAATGTCATCATCCGCCTTTACACATGTTATTTAGTCAGAGGGCCGTTAAACTGTTGAATCTGAGTTCCCTTTAAATGTATCTTGTCTGTCAATTAATGTCTTCTGTGTGAATCAGAATCAAACTGCAGTCTATCAGAGCATTTCTAAATAAATATCTAAATAAATGGATATTGTTTACAACGTTTGCCCGGGTTTTGTGGATTTAAGCGTGCTAAAAAATACTCACAGGAAATACAATGAAAGAAGAAGGCAGTTGCATTTTATTTAAATGCATCAAAAGTACTTTGAAATAGACTTGTGTGTGCATGTTGTGTTGTGTTTTGACCACATGGGGGAGGTGAGGAGCAGGACATCCATTTTTCCACACGTGTGTGGCGGAAAACAAAGAAAATCAACCTTATAATTTCTTTAAATTGTGACGCAAAATTAAAACTATAATATGGATATAAACTATATTGTTGCAGGAAGTTGTCATGAATGTGCACTGAGCTGCTGCAGGCTTCACATCAGTGTAACTAAAAGCGACATTATAAAAGACAAACGCGTGAAAACACACTTTTATGTCACATTTATGAACGTAATTGAAACGTGATGCATTCAGGTCCACACATCCTTTTCATAATATAGTCACCTGCATCTTTTTCTAAGACTAACGAGTCCTCTATTGACCAAGACGTGTAAAAACAAACCTTTCCAGCAGATGGCGCTGTTTCCCCATCAATATGAGTGCCGGTAGGCGGAGTCGGGTATGGCTGGCTTCTCGGTGTTTTACTTAATTTTGTTATTGTTATTGTGTCTCCTAATTCACAATGACTTCTCTACGTCGATACGACCTTTACCTGGGAGTGACACGCCGAGTTTGGATGAAAATGCTGCGAAAAGAAGAATTGAAGACGAAGAAGAAGAAGAAAACGCGTTTGTATGCTAATGCTAATGCTAACTGAACCATAACAACATCGTGTGTCTGAGAGATTCAAACAAAAGTGAAGAGAAAGTTGTTGTTTGAACTCAACATTCAGGGTTTTCTTCTTGTTTCTTTGTACAGGTGTGTGCAGGTGTTTCCTCGCTCTGTGCTGTAGCTCCGAGGTAAAATGATTTTCTAAACATTACTGTTCACAGAGCTCAGAGATTAAATGTTCATCTTGATAAAGTAATATGAATAAACTTCATTTATTTCATTTAAAATGTAAAAGCTCTTCATCCAGCCTTCTGTGTTTAATTTACTCAAAGAAACTTTGAAATTTAAGTGCAGTAACCAACAACTAACCACCAGAGGGCGCCCTCTCTATATAAAGTGATTTATAAACGATATAATGCATTTATTTTAAACCTTTAACTTTAATTAGAGTTTTTGTTCTTGTGACAGATAATTTTGTAAGTCAGTAAAGTAATTTGATATTTTTGATACTTTTACTTAATTAAATTAGTTTTTAGTTTTTCTTAATGAAAATACCACAAAACCTTTTTATTGATTAAATTGAAATGATTAATTTGATTAAATCTTCTTATTTCATTAGGATTCAAATATTTGATATAAGAGTACATCTTACAGCTCAATGAGATAGTTCAGATTAAACACTTAAATTAAAATGAAACATTTACAAGTTAAAAAGGTTGTTTAAAAATTCTTCTTCCTTGCCTTGATTTTATGAACTTTCATATGCTCATAACTCTTCTTCACCTACCTTATGTGCTCCATTATATTAAGTTCATTGATAATATCACAGATCAATTACAACTCTGAATATATATTATATATATAAATGTATAGAGCATTTTCTTTCCCCCCAAAGCTCGATCAGGTTAAAGGTAAACTAACTTGTAGAACTTATAATATAAGATAAATCTGTTAAGATGTTTCTTAAGACCTTATACTTAATGTTTCTATATTATATTCTACATTTAAACTTTGAATTTAAGTTTGCTTCAGTCTCATACAAAACCCTTAAAGTGAAGTTAAACACAGATAATTTACAGTGAATGATGAAACTCAGGTTTATTCCAATCATCACAATGTTTTATAATCACAAACATTTTGAGTTTTATTAACTTGATGAACTAAAATGTGTTTTTCTTCTCCAACAGGAACTCTGTCGACGTCTTCCAGGAGGATTCCTCGTCGGTGGCCGTCTTCCTGCTCAGGTAGGAGACTCAAAGCTTTCTTAATGTTGTTTTATTATGTTCCAGGTTTTAGGTGGTATAGAAGTTTAGACTCAGTTATTTTAATCATTTGACTTCATCCTTTTTGATCAGCTAGAAGTCTATTTAGAGTTGAGGAACATCAGGTGTTTAATATAAAACTACATTATTATTTTTTAATCTATTAGGTATCGTTAGTCGACAGCACATAGCATTATGTTATGTTATGTTATGTTAAAGCTGATTTAAGGAGTTATGACCTTCTTTAGACATGGACATCCAGTGCTGGTATTACTTCCTGATCTAACGTTATCCTGAAGGTAGCATCAGTGTCCTGAATGTTACAGTTAACTATTTTCCCTGAAAATGATTTGAATCACTTCTCCTTTGACGGGTTAAAGAGAGTTTAACTTTTAACAGGACACTGATGCTACCTCGATCAGGAAGTAATACCAGCGCTGTGTGTCCATGTCTAAAGGAGGTCATAACTCCTTAAATCTGCTCAACATACAAAACTCATAACTCCACCTAAAACCTGGAACATAATAAAACAACATTAAGAAAGCTTTGAGCTCCTACCCAATGGGGGCTGGAGGATAGTGGGGGAAGGACTGGCTGGATGTAACCCCCTCACCTGTCACACCTTATTGTATTGTGCTGACGTAACGTGTACAAAACACAGAGGTCATCACGTCTGTTCAATATTTTATTGTAATAAAACTACTGCTCTGTCCATTTTGGCACATTTCTTTAGAGTGCTACTCACACGTTTAGCTGTGTTGCACATTCCATGAATGCACGATGCTTACAAGTTATACCTCGTTGTAAAGGTGACTGATCAGGCTTTCCAACGATATAAAATACAACACCAATTAGTATTATTAAAGAGGCCAAATAATTGACAAAATAATGTTTCCAAACTTTTTGAGGAGTTTATTTCCAACAATTATCAAAGCCACAGAAATCCTTCAGAATCAGCTTTACTGGCCAGGTGCATCACAACACTCAAGGAATTTTACTTTAGTAAACTATGCTCTCTTTGTACAAAGGTATAATATTAAATATCAACAATAAACTTAGAAGCAAAGACTAATATGTACAAGGCTAAATAGGATAATAGTGCAAAAGATGGTTAAGTAAACATGAGGTCATCCTTCATTTTATAGTTGTTGCAGGACGTGACAAAGGAAGGGTATCACACATGAAACAAGGTTTAAAAGGAAGTAAATTTATTATCAAATCATCATAATTATGTAAATCAGTCATGAATGCAATGTATGGATGAGTGTAGTGTTGTAAAGTGGGAACAAAATCAAACCAGTTGATGGAGGCCTGGGAGAAAGAGAGGGGAGACAAGTTAGACTGGAAGCCACTTATAAGCAGAGTCCTGGTGGACTCAGGTGTACCCAGGTGGACTAATGGCCTTCCTGACTCCGCCTGCTGTCTGCCAAGCCAGGAAGCCAAACAAATGCAGACAGAGGGCGCCACAGCGCCATGACAGACACTACTATGTTTATCGTTGTAACACGAGATGTTACGTCCAAGACCGCTGCATAAGCAAGTCGTGAGCTGCTGCTGAAAGCTGCTGTTTATTCTTGTCTAGACAAAATATATAGAAATATAAATCATTTATTTAACATAGATTAAGAAACAAAGCTTAGACTTGAACAAAACAACACACAGATCCAGCAGGAGAAACATGGTCTTCATCTGTTTCTGTGGCTCAGGAGATAGATGGAGGACTTGGAGTCTGCAGCTTGTGGGTTCAAATCTTATCAGGACTCAGTGAATTTTAAAGGTGTCGGTCCAAAATGAAAGACTCCAGAGGAGAAACACTGTGAAGCACCTGCCAGTATGGATCCACAGGAAACACACCATTATCTTAAAGGTGTTGGTCCAATGGAAAGACTCAAGAGATCTGAGAAACATAATCAAGCATCTGTCTCTGTGGCTCAAGAGATAGAAGGAGGACTTGGAGTCCAGAGGTTGTGGGTTCAAATCTTACCAAGACTCAGTGAATTTTAAAGTCTAACATCTGAAATGATGAAGATAAATACGCCCGGAACACATCTCATAGTGTGAAGGTATCGGTAGTGTAGTGGATAAGATTGCGGTTTCCAAGCTCTGTATGTGGCGAGCCTAGGTTCAAATCCCACTATGTCTGGTGATGGAGGATTTGGATCTTATCAGGCAAATTTTTAAGTGAAAATCTGAAATGACGATGATAAATACGCCCGGAACACATCTCAAAACAGGAAGGGACCAGTGGCCAAGTGGAATCATCCTTGCATCAGGAATACATGCACGCTGGTTCAAGTCCAGCTTCCACAGCACTGGTACCTGGCACCACTAGTTCCCCCTGATGTTTCATGAGTAACACAAGTACAGGTTTATGAAAAAGAAAATCAACTGTGTCTGAAGTTTTGTGAACATGTCAGAGCCTTTATTTAAAAGTGTTGGATGACTTAATGAACTAAATATAGTGTACTAACCTAAATTCATTAATGGTTCATTGTTCCCACCATGACATAAGATTTTATTTATTATATATACATATGGTCAATCATATATCAGGATAATATGGTTCAAAGTTAAAAGGAGCTCAAGTAAAATATGGAGCATCAGTGAAGTCACTAGAGACAATGTTTACATGGATCATTCAGGGAACAGGAAGTTATAAAGGAAACAGGAAGTTCAGGGTTCTTTCTCTAATCTGCACACAGCAAGCAGCAACAGAAATGTAAGTTCCTGTACTGAAGTTAAGGTTTAGCATTAGCATGTAGCTTAGCATTAGCAACAACTTGTATTAGTTTATTGTTTGAATTTATACAGAACTTTGGTAATGACTAAACTTCTTGTGTCTTGTAGTTTTCACTCCTTCAATCTGGTGAAGAAATGAAAAGACGAGATCATCTCTTTGCTCCCTTCAGGTGCAGCTCCTGCAATTCAAACACAAAGTTTACATTTAGTTTAGACCAACAAAGTTTACATTTAGTTTAGACCAACAAAGACAAAGTTTACATTTAGTTTAGACCAACAAAGACAAAGTTTACATTTAGTTTAGACCAACAAAGACAAAGTTTACATTTAGTTTAGACCAACAAAGACAAAGTTTACATTTAGTTTAGACCAACAAAGACAAAGTTTACATTTAGTTTAGACCAACAAAGACAAAGTTTACATTTAGTTTAGACCAACACAGACAAAGTTTACATTTAGTTTAGACCAACAAAGTTTACATTTAGTTTAGACTAACAAAGACAAAGTTTACATTTAGTTTGAACTAACAAAGACAAAGTTTACATTTAGTTTGAACTAACAAAGACAAAGTTTACATTTAGTTTGAACTAACAAAGTTTACATTTAGTTTAGACTGACCAAGTTTACATTTAGTTTAGACTAACACAGACAAAGTTTACATTTAGTTTGAACTAACAAAGTTTACATTTAGTTTAGACTAACAAAGACAAAGTTTACATTTAGTTTAGACCAACAAAGACAAAGTTTACATTTAGTTTAGACTAACAAAGACAAAGTTTACATTTAGTTTAGACTAACAAAGTTTACATTTAGTTTAGACCAACAAAGACAAAGTTTACATTTAGTTTAGACTAACAAAGACAAAGAGGTTCCTCATGGAGGAGCACAGCATGACTCGTGAGTAGAAATGAAAAGGTCTGGTTCATCTATCTGTAGAGAAGGTTAAAAATGTTTGACTTTAAATAAAAACAGTTTTTTCAAAGTTGTTCAAGTTGTTTCAATCGTCTTCTTTGACATGTCATGACTCATCGTGTGTGTGTGTCGCTCTGACTCACCAAACTCATAATACTGAAGGCTGCAGAGAAGACAGATATGGCGGCTACATGCTAATGCTAAGCTACATGCTAATGCTAAGCCACGTGGTATGCTACATCAGATGCAATACGTCACAAATTATAACGAGGCTAATGTTAAGCTACATGCTAATGCTAAGCTACATGCTAATGCTAAGCCACGTGGTATGCTACATCAGATGCAATACGTCACAAATTATAACAAGGCTAATGTTAAGCTATATGCTAATGTTAAGCTACATGCTAATGTTAAGCTACATGCTAATGTTAAACTTTAACTTCAAGACAGAAACTCACATTTCTGTTGCTGCCTGCTGTGTGCAGATTAAAGAAAGAATCCTCAACTTCCTGTTTCCTTTATAACTTCCTGTTGATAAATCCAGAGCACTTCCTGTTGATAAATCCAGAGCACTTCCTGTTAATAACCAGAGCACTTCCTGTTGATAAATCCAGAGCACTTCCTGTTGATAAATCCAGAGCACTTCCTGTTGATAAATCCAGAGCTACAGATTCACAGATATAAGAAGACCGAGGAGTTCAGATGAAAAGAAACAAAGCTACATGGACAGACAGGTGATCATTCAAATGATTTCGTCTGCTTGCGTTGGATGGATGTTTCTCGATCTTCTCCTGAGTCCATTTGAACTTTTGTGATCTGTTGCTTTGGTAACCTCAGCATCGTTAACAAAAACAGGCCAATCAGAGTCCACATTTTGAAGGTCTCGGTCTGGGACTAGAAGGAAAAAACATAAAATAACGTCACTCCCCGGTTACGACCACAACCTTCCTGGTGTTACGGTCCAAGTGAGTAAAACGTCCCCTGCACACACACATATTTGTGACTCTGTGTGGTCTTAGTGTGCTCTTGACTACAACACTACCCTCAGCTGAGTTCAGACAAGGAGGACCAAAAGCTGTTGGGTTTTTAAATGACATGACACTTTAAATGGGGGGATGAAATACTCACACTGTGTCCTGGAGGCCCTTCAGATCCTCTGATCATTCAGCAGTCTGGACACAAAATGTGGATGAATTGAGGACACACAGACTAATGAATAATGGAGATGTGATGTGTTAGCTGGTACATACATGAGCTTCTGTAGTGTTGCATCTTTCTCCAGCTGTCTGTCATGAGTCTGCTCCAGTAACAGGCCCTGGTTCAAACAAAAAGGAGGAAAATAAAATGTATAATGTGGCCAGAGTTAATGTTGATGTCTGCTTGAGTGGATCAAATCTGGCACTTCTAATTGAAGTAGTTTATGATTGTAAATGAATGAGCTCGTCCATCATCCTCTGCTGGTCTTGGATCTGGTGTCTGAGGCGGCTGAGCTGCTTGTGGTGCCTCCAGAGTTTTGTGGAGATGTACAAACGGATTTGTGTCCATCTTCTGCTCCTTGAGTTTCTCAACCAGACTCTGTTGGTTGATCTCATCATCCTGTGAATTATTACAAGAAAAGGACATCAAGTAATAAGAATTGAGAAAATGAAAGTATTTGTATTTAGAATCTTTAAGCAGGTTGTCTTCAAACTGTGCTTCTAATGTTGTGTCTTGTCTTTGACTTTAGTCTATTCTTGTCATCCAGCTGTTTGTACAGGTTGCTCCTCCTCGTATTTGATCCGCTCGTGGCAACAATATTATTTGACTTTTCTTTCACAAAGGTAAGAAGTATTTTCAGATGAAAAAAACAGTTAGTTAATTTAAAATGAGTAATGTATCAGAATGGCCCATTTACTTTTCACGTATTGTTCAATCCTAGCTGTAAATGAGCCATAGATGAAACTAAACTAAAAGTCTGTGATATTCTGTGATCACAGTCTGTGATATTATCAATGAACTTAATATTATGTTTGAAAGTTAATGGAGCACATAAGGTAGGTGAAGAAGACTTATGAGCATATGAAAGCAACTTTTTTAACTTGTAAATGTTTCTTTTTATGTGTTTAATCTGAACTATCTCAATGAGCTGTAAGACTCGTATCAAATATTTTAATCCTAATCAAAAATAGCAGTTCAATCAAATTGATCATTTCAATTAAATCAATAAAATGGTTTGTGGTATTTTCATTAAGAAAACCAAACGACAATAAACTAATTAAATTGATTAAAAGTTTGAAAAGTAAAATGAAAGCTACTAGGAAAAGGTCTGAGGTAAAAATGCAGCTTTAATATAAATAATTTAGCAAACAATGATGTAAGACTCTAATTAAAATGTATAGGTTTAAAATAAATGCATTATATCGTTTATAAATCACTTTATATAGAGAGGGCGCCCTCTGGTGGTTAGTTGTTGGTTACTGCACTTAAATAAGAAATGAATCAGACTGCTGTTTCTTTGAGTAAATCAAACACAGAAGGCTGGATGAAGAGATTGTTGTCTTAGTTTACCTGTTAGCTTTTTTGGTTGACTTGTTAGCTGTTGTTTTATTTACCTTTTAGTTGTTGTTTTATTTACCTTTTAACTGTTGTTTTATTGACCTATTAGCTGTTGCCTTGGTTACTTGTTAGCTGTTGTTTTATTTACCTTTTAGCTGTTGTTTTATTTACCTTTTAGCTGTTGTTTTATTGACCTTTTAGCTGTTGTTTTATTGACCTTTTAGCTGTTGTTTTATTGACCTATTAGCTGTTGTCTTGGTTACTTGTTAGCTGTTGTTTTATTGACCTTTTAGCTGTTGTCTTGGTTACTTGTTAGCTGTTGTTTTATTTACCTTTTAGCTGTTGTTTTATTGACCTTTTAGCTGTTGTCTAGTCTTTAATGTTTGTTGTTTTTATCTTTCAGCTGTAGTTTTGTTTAGTTATAGATTTAGTTTAAAGTTGTATTGTCCGTTTTCTTTGATTTGTGTGTTGGATGAAACTTACTTAATCTACTTAATATAATTTACTTCCTAACTTTTTTTCTTAAACGACATACTAACCTAAATTCATTAATGGTTCATTGTTCCCACCATGACATAAGATTGTATTTATTATATATACATATGGTCAATCATATATGAGGATAATATGGTTCAAAGTTAAAAGGAGCTCAAGTAAAATATGGAGCATCAGTGAAGTCACTAGAGAACTGTTTACATGATATGTGAACACCAAGAAAGAAACTATTTATGTAGAAATGTCACTGTCTGCCTCTCCTCTCTCTGTATCGAGGTCATTGCTGAGTCCAGCCAGTGAGGCTCCAAACCTCCATGGAAATGTGAACAAAATGAGAGAAGATGCCGGTTTGAGGCGAACACACACAGACTGCACTGATGGTGAGAATTGGACGCAGATATCCATTTTAAAACCTGCAGGTTAGCGTCTGTTTTGGGTGCGAGCTGAACTGTACCTGTAGGTCTGTCTTGATGAGCGAGGCTCCTGCTTGGACCAGATAATGACAGATAGTTCTTTGAGACAGGGACGCAGCTCGGTGAAGGACCGTCTCCCCCCCTGGTCAACAGAAGAGAGAGAGAGAGTCAGATTACAGCATCTGACAACATCACCCGAGGAACAGACATCAACAGTGGCCCCCCTGCTGCTTCTTTTGGTGTCTTGTGTTTATGATGGCACATGTATCATCACATATAGACTGAACAGAGATCAGAGCACAGATACAGACACAGGCAGTTTGAAAGCATCATCATCTACACTCTTAACATTTAAATAAAGTGTTTAGCATTTTAAAAACCTCATGGTTTCAGTTCAATGTTAGATGTTTTCAAGCACAAATATAATCTGTACTTACTGCAGTTTTTCTGTAGCGACTAAAAACTACTTAAAAGGCCGGGTTGGTGATTTTCTCGAGATCCACTTTTTAAGATTGTGGTTGAAATTGTCTTTTGATCCTGACAATGCAGGCAATGAGCTGAGGTCTGCTTCTGGGGTGGGTGCAGACGGAGCACTGAGGGAATGCTACTTTTAGAAAATGACCAACCCAGCCTTTAACCCAGACAAGACTCTCTCTCTGCTTTTTGTGTCTTGAGATAACATTTGGATTGAGTTGGCGCTCTACAAAATAAAGATTGATTGAACTGACTATTTGTTTTACAAGCCTGTCATTGAAAGTTTCCCATTTATTGAAACACTAAAGTACAGAAAGAAAAAAAAAACGACATATTCCTATTTTGAAAAGAACCCACATACATTCATTAATGGTAAAAACAACAACAACTACTAAGGATTCTTTAAATGAGCTACACATGGTGCAATGGCACCCCCTGTTGGCCTGTCAGAGATTGCTACAGGAAGTGACTCATCAAGCCCTGCCTATAAAGGAAGCAGGAAGTTAAGGGTTCCTTCTTTCATCTTCAAGGCTGCACACAGCAGGCAGCAACAGAAATGTGAGTTTCTTCACTGGACTGAAGTTAACAACTGAGCTTTCTTTTGTTGTGTATTAGTTTATTGTTCATTGTAGAACTTTGGTTATGACTAAACTAAATGTTCTTGTGTCTTGTAGTTTTCACTCCTTATTCAATCTGGTGAAGAAATGAAAAGAGGAGTTTGTCTGACTGTCAACCTACGAGCACCAAACACGTGGAGGACTGTACACACACCTGTGGAGGATGTAGAGGACCATCTCTTTGCTTCCTGCACTGGCAGCGTGATGACGTAACCTGCAGCCGGACGAGTCGAGTGACGTCAGGTCGGCTCCCTCCAGGTGCGGCTCCCTCCCTCCAGGTGCGGCTCCCTGCAGCTGATGATTCAATTCAAAGACACATGTGAGTATGTAGAAATGAGGTGCAAAGTCGTTGTTCTTCACAAACTCAACCAGCAGCTCTAGAGAGAGAGGATGTTAAAAACCACAGATAATTAAAGTTATTATCAGTGCTCTGTATGACGAGGTTCAAGGTCTTGGTCCTCAAAAGGATTTGATTGACTTCTCCTTTTGGGTGACAGATTTATCGGCTAACAATAAACATGTAAACTACTATAACTAAATAAAACACAGCTGGCAGATAACCAACGACATTAAGGACTAATGCACTACAGCTGAACCTGATCACAGATGTAACACCTCTCTCTCTCTCACTCTCTCTCTCCTCCACAGACACAGAAGTCAATGTGATGCAGAATGGACACCGCAGTAGTTACTTTCCAAAAAAACGTAATGTTAACTTTCATGAATCAGTCCATTTTTATTCACTTGTCTCCAAACACTTTACAATAAGAAACATTTGTTTAGTTTAAACTAATTGTGATGTGTTTTTTTTTTTTTGTTGTAACTTTTAGGGGCAGCCTGACCAAAACAAGACAAAGAGCTGTTAACATGTATGCTACACCACGCTGCCTCACCTGCTTCCTTCAACATTTGGTGAGTATTTTTCTTGGCTCTTGAGTTTATTTTAACCGTTTGAGTCACATATAGTCATATACTTGATTTTATTCGTAGGGCAGAATGTACATGATGCTATAAACTTTTAAATTTTAATCTTAACACTCTCTCTGATGTAGATGTAGAGATTCTTTTGACTTAAATGATTAAAAATTAGTAATGTATCAGAATGGCACATTTTACAATCCTAGCTGTAAATTACCCATAGATGCAACCTGAAATGAACTTTCAACCCTGATGTCTTTGTTTCTTGTTTTCCAGGTGTTTCCTCGCTCTGTGCTGCATCTGGAAGGATTTTCTTTAGATTAAAGTTAACTTGTTAGCTGTTTTAGTTTTCTTTCAGTCATAGTTTGTTGTTTTCATCTATAGATTTAGTTAAAAGTCTGTTTTCTTTAACTTTCATTTGAAAGCTTCAATAACATTTTAAAGTCTTAATTTGTTTCATGTTCGTGTTGTCAGCATCTTTAATTCCTAATAGATGTTTTGTAGGAGTTGTTTCCTTCAGTCACAATGCTGTAAAACTTGTTTAAACACTACAATAAATAAAACACACCTGGCAGATAACCAGAGCCTCACAGATGCAGAATGGACACAGCAGTAGTTTTATTAAAATAAAATATGGAACAGACAACCTCTTTTGTACATAAGCACAATACAATAAGGCGTCACAGGCGTCCCCATTAGGTAGGAGCTCAAAGCTTTCTTCATGTTTTTATTATGTTTAGGTCGTATAAATGTTTAGACTCAGTTATTTGATCCTTTTTGGAGTGGAGGAACATCAGGTGTTTAACGAAATAAGGATTATAAAAATGTAGTATTTCATTAAACACCTGATGATCCTCCACTCCAAAAAGGATGAAAAAATAACTGAGTCTAAACATTTATACGACCTAAAACATGAAGAAAGCTTTGAGTCTCCTACCTGAGCAGGAAGACGGTCACCGACGGGGGATCCTCCTGGAAGATGTCGACAGAGTTCCTGTTGGAGAAGAAAAACACATTTTAGTTCATCAAGTTAATAAAACATTGTGATGACTGGAATAAACCTGAGTTTCATCATTCACTGTAAATTATGTGTTTAACTTCACTTTAAGGGTTTTGGATGAGACCGAAGCAAACTTAAATTTAAAGTTTAAATGTAGAATATAATATAGAAACATTAAGTATAAGGTCTTAAGAAACATCTTTACCATACATTAACTGTCACAAGAACAAAGACTCTAATTAAAATTAAAGGTTTAAAATAAATTAATCAGACTTTTGTTTCTTTGAGTTTGAATTAAACACAGAAAACTGGATTAAGAGCTTTTACTTTTAAATTAAATAAAGAAGTTTATTCATATTACTTTATCAAGATGAACATTTAATCTCTGAACAGTAATGTTTAGAAAATCATTTTACCTCGGATTAACTAGTTTACATATTAGTCAATAAATTTAAATTGAGGTTATTGTTTTATTTAAACTCTTCAATCTGATATTAGTTTAAATTATAAGTTTTGTTTTTAAAGTTTACTTTTACCCGGTGTTTAAACAATTAGTTTAACAGGAGAAAACAAGTTCAAAAGTTACCTTCATAATGTTGACAAATGTTATCATCATCTTACTTTGACGATGTTTCCTCTTAACAAACATTTAGCATGAGCATTAGCCCACGTGTTAGCATTAGCATACAGCCCCACGTGTTTCTATTTTGTGGCTTTTCACACAAAACTGAACTTTTAAAGACTCACTGAGTATCTAGACTTCATCTCTCCTTCCCCGGCTCCTTCTTCTTCCACCGCTTTGATCCACAGCCAGGCTGCCCGCGGTCCGCATCGCTTACCTGCTCGAAACAATGATTACACACCTGAGAACACCTGAACACACCTGGGCGTGATTACCGGAAGCTTCAACCGGAAGTGTCGCAGAAAGTTTCTATGGAAGAAATGAAAAAGTTATAAATAAGAGGACACATAAACAAGACTAAGTCAAAAATCAAATGTTTTATTGATAAGAAATATTTATTAATATAATTTACTTGTTTTTATGTTTTTTTAAACTTTGAACTCTTGGTAACCAAGCAACATGAGAAAGTCAAACTCGGGTCACCATGGTAACTAACTGCATTCGTTAGCAGGGGACGAAGCTAACCTGTTTTCCGGTCTTTAGGACACTGACTGAATTCTTACTCACAGATAAATTCACTGCTGAATGATGTTTACCTCCAGTTTCTCTCTTCCTCTCCCTGTCGTTCTCCAAAGTGTCTAAGAAGCAGATAAATGAAGACACGGGATGAGTGAAAACTTTGTACTGAAGCTCCGAAGTTAGTTTGAGATACTAATGTGTAAAGATGGAGTTTAAAGGTGAAACTGCGCCCTCCTGTGGTCACTCTGTGAATTACTGCATTTGGAAGTTTTGTTTTTTTCACCTTTCTTGTTCTAGATACAAATTCAAACTGCTTTCTTTGTTTTATTTCTTTATATATAAATGTGACTTGACTTAATCACAGATCAAATATATTTTATTATTAAAAGCAACTGTTTACTGCTTATGTTAATTAAAATCCATTGTCTGTTAATCACACATGCATGTTAGTCTCTCAAAGAATCTGAAGTGTAACTTCATTGATTGCATATTCTTGTGTACGTTGGAGCGTTTCACTACTGAGGAAGAAAGCAGATTGTGTTCCCATGACATATTAGGCAATATATTTTTCTTATTTTCTTATTAGTGGTAGATAATTAAAGACTACAATAAACAAGTTTCCTCAAAATCAAAGAAAACAGACAATGAAAGCTGTAAACTACTATAACTAAATAAAACACAGCTGGCAGATAAGGGTTTTTGTTTTGAATCCACGTCTTTTTAAGCCTTTTCTGCCTCGTAATTATCGGGCAAAAATATAAATTCTTTGACTTCCAAGTAGAGTGAATGTAATCACTCAAATGTGTCTACAAGGTGACTGGTTACTGCACTGACCTGTATCTAACTTAAAAGTAGTGAGGGTTTTTACCACACCTCTAAGAGCAGATAAAATGATCATCAGAGTTCAACCACTGACGAAACAAAGACACTGAAAGAGAGTACAGAAAGAAGACTTGGATGAAATGAAGAAACTTCTCAGTTGACAGTTTTGGTCTCACTCCAAGTCTGCACTCAGAAAGAAGAAAAGAATTGATTTGCTTTCTTCAGAAGAAAAAAAAGAAAAGAGAGTGTTGCTTACAATCAGAGGACAGGTTATTCTGTCTTAGTCTGTCTTAGACAGACCCCTTTAAAAGACAGACTAAAGGGGTTTCACACTTGCAGAAAACTCCTGATATTTGCAGGAGGAGCTGTATGTGTGAATGCAAACTTTTCGTTTGGACTTCACCCAGAGTTTCTCCTGCCAGAACCCTACTGTAGTATTCTTTTCAGCAGTTAGTCAGAGTGAGCTGATGTGAGAACGCAGCAGAATATTATCTGGAATATTCACCTCGGAATCTCTGGAGCAGTCCTCCTGTAATGATCTAGATATTTTCAGGAGTGCAGATGTGAAAACGACTTAAATTTACGCCTTTGCATGTAGAACAGTTAAATTCATGCAGCTGGAGGACATGTTTAGATTTTTATACTTTCTGATTCATATTTCTTTCTCTGTATGTTAGATGTCATGCATGCAACAACACATAAAGAAAATGACACTTAAGCTGATGCACTATTCAGTGTAGAGAAACAAACTGAGGCTGCCTCTACCTGAACATCAAACTCTTCAAATCCAAGCAGATTGTTGGTCTGAGCAGAGCAAGAGGAAAAAAAACACACAGCAAAACTTAGCTCCCATTACTGGCCAAACCCCATAAAAACATCTCCAAATTTAAGCTTTGGTTACTGGTTTGTGACACAACAGTACTTGAAGCAACTGCATTTAAGATCAATAAGGACAAAATAACAGATAAATACAGACAGAGTAAAGCTGGGTTTAAATTTCTACACATCTACTGGTTCATCTCAGATGGACATATCGTGCAGTTTACTCGTCTACATTCATCTGAGGTGTTGTTTCTTTACAGGTGATGAATTAACAGAAATCTTCACCTGTAAAAATAAAAACCTTGTGCAGACTGTCAACAGCAGTATTTAAAGAGGTGCACACAGACGCTGTTTCAGCAGCTTATCAAAATACTCACCACAGCATCAATGTCTCTGTAGTCATCAGGAGACATGGGCAACATGTTGTCCTGCAGTCTGGACGGATGTCTGAACAGAAAGCAAATCCAATTAAATCTGCTCAATGCATTACCAATAAAATATTTGACATGTGTTTAAAAAGTGACATTCTCTGCTCACACTTCAGAGACAGAAATGAGCTCTGTCTTTGTTCTCCACATCCATGGGCTCCTGAGCTAAAAGTCAAATAAACACAGATTCAACTTTAACAGCATTTAGTCCCCAATAAGCATTAAATAAACGAGCAGTTTGCAATAAGATACTTTGCTGAAATTACAGGTAATAAGAAACCTCTCATCAGCTCGTTTGTATAAAAGGTCTAATGTTTTTACAGCACCTGCAGATTGTTAGTTTAATAAACACTCTTAAAAGAAGCATTAAAACTTGAAATTTAAGACAGCATCATATTTTATAAACAGATCATATGGTGTTACTGTGGAACCAGAACACTGGAGCTGGACATGTGAGACTTACTCTCTGTGTGAGCAGAGAGGGTTCTCTGGGATGTTCTCGACAGCCGTCACTCTGTAGGTACGGATGATGTCGGGCAGAGAGACGACTGACAGCTCCTTCTTCTCGTACGGCTCCACAGAGTGAAAGAGAGAGAGAGGGAGTAGACAACTGTTCTTCAATTTAAATATCAGAAACTGTCAGATACTGAGTGAAAGGTTTTCGGGGTAGCACAGCACGACCTATCTGAGCATATTGTATGTTTTTGGTTTAATGCTGGTGCTAAAGGGCGATATCTACTGGATCAAAGAGTCTCACATTCTTCCTTTACATAACACATGAACAGCATCAGTCCTTCACTCACTGCAGAGGTCGTATTCCATCCAGGTAAAGGTGATGGCTCCCTCTCTGCTGCTCTCACTGAACCTGAGCAGGAAGGTCCCGGGACACTTATCACTGAGCAGAGCCTTCTCCCTCTCCTTACTGATGAAGCCCATGATGGAGTTTGTCAGCCAGCATGTTGAGCTGCTCCTGGTTCAGGCCTCGCTTGGTGACGGAGGAGAACTGCCAGCTGAGGAGCTCGGACAGCTGAGACCACTTGGCCTGCGGAGCGCTGAGGAAGAACTTCAGATTCTGAGGGAGAGGAGAGGAAAGAAGATGGAAACACAAAAAGTCAAACCATTTGGTTTATAGAACTCTGATCTTTTAGTAAAACTTCAGTTAAAGACACTCTGTTACGAATAGAAGACCTTTATTCAAAACCTTACTTAATATAAAAAGCACAGGCATCAAAATATACTCAAAAGACCAACCGTAAAACAGCTATACACGCGTCAACATTTAGACTGTATTAATGGTCTGTTTATGAATTTAAGGTGGCAGCTGTGAAACTTGTTTAAATCATTAAGATATCACCTGATTGTATGTTTGATATTTGTGATAAGTAAACATCT